CTTAAAATGAAAAGAAAGTTTGAAGGTGGAGGGGAAAAAAATAAAATGAAAAATTTTTTTGGGATTTATTGCCTCACATAAAAAACGGTTTGTCAGGACTGCCAAACTAATAGCGATGTTGAAGTATTGACAATCTTGATTTCTAACCAGGCAGAATTAAATCAGCTTCCATTATTTGGATCTTAAGCTAAAAAAGATCCCTGTATTGATAAAACTTTTTTCTGCTAAACTCTCACTTTGTAATTACAAAAGAACAATGGATTTTGTAATGTTTTCTTTGCATTTTAAGAACCCATTTCAATATTTCATATACACCCTGATAAAAAACAAATACATATTAACACAGCTATTCTGTATGTGTTTCAGCTTTGTATTCTTCATTCAGTCCAGAATCAAGTTCAGCCTTTTGATTTTCATTCAGTGCTTGTGTTTCAGACTCAACTTTTCAAACCAGCCATTTGTCTGTATTTCATTTTCAATCCATCCACCAGGCCAAATGCTGATCAACTGGTTCGTGAGTGCCTTCAGCGAGGGTCACTACCTCCGGCATGTGATCACTCCGCAGGACTTGAAGATCCTTGCCACACAGTTCTGCACGCATCTCCTAGCTGCGGGAGTGATCCGTCAGATTGAGGATTCTGGGGCTCCTCTTGAGCTTCTGTTTAGGGTAATTGTCATTTTCCCCTTTATTAGAATTATTTTTATGTGTGTAAATTTTGTAAAGGTGATTAAAGGGATGAGGAGTGGCACCATGTGTGTGTTTGAACCCCTTTAAACTCAATAACCATTACTAGTCAGTGTACCAAATTTATCACAGGAGATTTAGCAGCTTATGTACTGAAGTCAAGCATACTCAGTGTACCATTTGGATGTATTCAGAACTCTTGCTATATGGATGGTTCACAAGGTATTAGATTTTGAAACAGAATGAAAAGCAGGAATAGGTTACTGTATTCAGAAATTCACCAATAAGTATCCATAGTATAGTACTATACATGTAACATATATGCACTTTAAACAATATGCCTAATTTGCTGTTGTATTTGCAGCCTGACCTTATGTATTACTGGTCCCACACGGAGGCTTCACCAGCACAGATCCTAACCCCAGGCAAGCTCTCCCCTTCAGCCTGGCCCCCACCTAACTTTGCTGAGCTCATTTCCTCATCCCGTCCAGGGGCAAAGTACACAGAGGCAGGTACGTGAGAAATCCATAGGTGTTAGTAAATATGTACATATATATATATGTGTGTGTGTGTATATATATTTTTTATTATTATTATTATTTTAGATGAGTAAAAAAGAAAGGCTAACTCTTTAAAGAAAGGCTAACTCTTTTTTTGTTGTTGTTGCTACAAAGTGTGTATATGTTATAACAGAGTTGAGAACTATGTATAAGGAAATTTTTATAGCAAAACAACTATTAACCTATTTCTCATACTTATTATCATGGAAGGACTGACTTTGAATGAGAAAGATTTTCCTGGAGTATCTTGGTCTTGTCAGTATCTTAACCCATTGCCATCAGGAACTTGTAATGTTCACGGTTGTAATATTTTGTTAAATGTGGCTACACAAAGATGGCTCCATAAGTGCAAAACCACCAAGGAGCAATAAGTAGACCTACGTGACTTCCCCTTTCCTTGAGTTTTCATTTTTTTTCAAGGGCTTTATTATTATTTAAATAATGATTACAGTGTTCATAACAATACTGATAGCAATATAGAATAAAAAAGAATATTTCCGAAATCAGGGAAAAGGGTTGAGCAGGTTGAACTATCTACTTGGTGACTATATACCTATGGAACCGTTAATATGTAAATACACTTAATAAATTAAACTTCAGGTGGGCAAGGCATGTGCGTACATGCCATCCCTGGCGCCAGTGGGTTAGAATGCAAAAGTAGAAGGAATGGGATTCTTTGAAAATGTATATATTTCTCTCAACTCTGTTTCTTTTTTTCACAAGACAAAGCTTTTGGCTTATTATTTTGCCTTAGAGTATAGAGGCAACTCAGATCAAGAGCCTTCTGCCAGAAGAATGGACCTCAGTCCTAGGGTGCTTTTACATTTGAAAACTTGTATTGCATATAACATCTTAGAATTGAATTAGTGTAATAAGTAGGATGATATTGTCCTTCTCTTTTTTTCCTATTATTTACCTGGTTTCTTTACAACTGAACTAACTCTGTGGATTATATTCTCAGATATATTTTCTTCTCAAAAGGTTGTTTTTTTTCTTTGAAATTTCCTCTTAATCTCATTGCTGTTCTGATGTAGTTAAAGACTAACCCTAGTGCTTCCAGATGAGGCAGAAAAAAAGTACTTTATGACTAACCCCATATTTGGAAACAGGCCTACTCCCTGATGTATCCCCCCATAGCGATACTAATGGGATAGTTATCGAAGCGGAAGTTGACGATAATAAGAACGGGGAGGGAGAAGGTAACCTGTGTGGTGTTGTGCATGGCTGTCCTTCTGTCTGATTGTTTGTTGGTCTCTCTGACTGTCAGTAGCAATCTCTTCATTCTGCTGTGATGAGTAACACCCCCCCCCCTCACCCCCACCCATCTTGATTGCTCCTCCCTCCTGTGGCTTTTCCCACAGCGACTGTAGTTTTCAAACTTTTTACCTCACAGTTTTTTTGGAACGTGTATCTACCTAGCATGTGGATTTCCAGATTTTGGCTGAATGTTCAAAATTGTGTAGACCCAAGGCTAAGAATGGATATTTAAAGATTGACTAATTAGAAGAAAAAATGTAACCATTGCTTATCAGTTCTTTGGTCTTCACTTTTTTTGTTACTAACTGGTTGATTTGATTTGTGAGTAACATGTCATTAACAATTAGACCTTGATAAGAAAACATTTGATTTGATACTTCATAAACGTCAGAGATCACTGAATAGTGGTTTATATAGTAGGTAAAAGAAGAAAAAATGTTGATATGAAAGTTTACAAAAAATTATTTTGGTTGTTGATATGAAGAAAGATTCTAGCTCAGTCTCAACCATTTTGAAATTTCTGTTCATATATATGTATTTTTTTATGGAGGCCATAGACAACTGAAGGAGAATATAGCTGTACTTTGTATGTATGTTTGGAAATGATTTGTAATATTCATTATCTTGTTTGGATAGATTTATTACATTTTGTGGTTAGAAAAACTAAAAATCTTGTCTTCTTATAATGTTTTGTTTATAGATTGTCTAAGGCTTTATGCAAGTCTTTTATAACTTGTATTGAATTTTTACAGCGCTAAGAAAGAATGGGGATTAGGGAAATCAATGAGTTTATGTGCATGGTAGCACAGATATGGAAGAATCAATATTATCAAGTGATGTTAGATGGTTTGCATGTTGTGTGTTTTTCCTTGACACTGCATGATGTGTTGGATATAATGAAAGGATTGCAACCATACAGATGTAAGTATTTTGAATTGCACAAGTATAACCTGCTGTTTACCCTCTACTAGTTTACGGCATTGTGATTCTTTTGAGATTTTTCTGTTTGTCTCTGGTTTAGTAGTCTTAGTAAGTATATTGAATCAAGTCAATTATGTTTTTGTGTGTGTTTATATATTGTTACATTATAAAGTTAAGGTTATTTTGATGATTGGTGACTCTTCTCATTTTATTTTCCTATTTGATAAGATGTTTATCTTCATGAAGTTATACATTTTAGCTTATGATTTGTGTTTTTCAAAGAATGAAATTCAGGAAACACAATGGCAACTGAGGCATTGGAACCTTCTTCCCTTAAGAAAAGATAGAAAAGAAATGGGTAATAGAAAAAAAATTAAAAAGATAATAATGATTTAACCATGATATATATACTACCCTTTTCCAACCAAATCCACCACTCTGTGAAGGCTCCATTACATTATATTTAATCCAGTTTTAACGCCTTTTCAGAATTCCAGCAAGTGGTGATGGGACTCAAGAGAGAACACAAGGAGTCTCTCGATCGCGTGGAAAGGGACCAGGAGGTGAATCTGTTCAATCTGCGAGGGGAGCAGGCGGAGAAGCTGTGCCAGTATGAGCAGAAGATTCGGGAGCTGGAGGTTGAGCTGGAAAAGCTGAAGACCGTCTCGGCGATTCAGGTTCGGTTGTTTAGCCTTGGGGATTTGTTTTTGCTTTTTGGGCTTTATTTGCATTTTTTTTTTTTTTTTTTGGTATAGGTGATGTATATGTTTGGAATATCTTTTTATTTTACATCATTTGTTATGATTTTTTCCCCCTTCAACTTGATGTATACTATGTTTATGTTTAGAGAAGTTTTTCATTTATGAATCATGTTTTATCATTTTCATAACAGTTTGAATATTTTGTGCATGTCAATCATATATAATATTCTCCCTGTCATTATTGGTACTATCTTTATTTTAACAGTGTGAATTTAGGTCATGTCTTTCCAGTTTCTTCCAGAGTAGACTTTTAATTTGGAGCTACTTACATGCACTATGACCTTATTTGGAAATTTTGCAGGAACTCACAGCCAAGACGTGTGCGGACTTTGACTCGCCCTCGATACCCCTGTCCCCTAAGAAGGCATCAGCATCCCCTGGTAGTGGCCCACCGTCACTGCCCCTCCCCCCCACCCCCCCATTCCCCCAGTCCCCCCTCCACTGGCCCATCTGCCCCCCGCCTCCCCACCACCACCTCCAGGAATGCTAGGGATGGGAGCACCCTCCTCCGCCTCCACCTCCACCTCCTGGCATGTTGGCACCACCACCTCCACCACCGCCTCCCCCGGGATGGGACCTCCCCTCCCCCTCCCCTCCCCTCCTCCAATGCCCATGATGGGGGACCTCCACCCCCTCCTCCCATGCCGGGAATGGGGGGACCCCCTCCCCCTCCTCCTATGCCTGGAATGGGGGGTCCACCACCTCCACCTCCACCTCCAGGTATGGGTGGGCCTCCTCCACCTCCTCCATTCCCAGGAATGAGGGGCCCACCACCTCCCCCACCTCCTCCAGGAATGGGAGGCCCTCCTCCTCCTCCCATGCCTGGCATGGGTCCTCCTCCTCCACCTCCAATCCCAGGCATGGGCCCGCCTCCCCCTCCTATCCCCCCTGGCATGAGAGGGCCTCCTCCACCCCCCTTCGGTGGGCCGGCCCCCTTCCCCGCCCCCCCGCCCGGTGGCTGGAATGCAGCACGCCCGGCTGGTAAGTGGTTGCCACCCTTCTTCTGGGGTTGGCATGATGACTCATTCAGTGACCTGGATTAGCCTTCATCTTGCTCATGGCGGATGCTTGTCTGTGTTTTTTGTCATGTGCACGGCAAGTCTTTTGAGCAGTTCTTGTGCAGCAAACATAGCATTTTAAGTTCTGTGCATTAGACTTCAGTTGCCAAAAGTATTAAGGCAAAAGTGTCCTCAGTTATACCAGTTAGTATCTTATGATCAGATATGGATGTTTCTTTTTTCCTATCGTAAATCCATTGACTTGTATTGCAGAGTGAAAAAGGTTTTTCCTTATTGTATGTTTTTTTTGTTTGTTTGTTTGTTTAACTAAATTTGGGTTTTATTTATTTAACTTTTGTCTAAATTGGAGTTGGACTTGGAAATTATGATAATTCTTAGACACTCTTATGAATTTGGTTATTTGTACTTCCTGTCTTCTGATTTTCACAGGCACTGAACATTATTATTTTTTATTTCAAACATGCAAATATATGGTTTTATTTCTGAAGTAAAGGATTTCTTGAGTCATCATGTGGCATTACCAGACTTTAATTTCTGTTTTCTATTCAATCTTTTTATTATTTTAATTTCTTCTTTATCCTTTTTGTTTTCTTTTCATTTCCCTTCCATAGCTGTCCAGTGTAGATTATATTAGTATTTAGAAGTTTTCAATATAGGTGGATGAAGGCTTTAACTTTACACTTTAAATTCTATAGGCTACACTTGGACTTGCATGGGAAATGCATGCATGACATAGAGGTTAGAATAAGGTGACCTTGTGCATGTTTCCTCTAGGGATCCAGTTCTTTGGTGGCGGAAAAGGTTGTTATATTGTGTAAGCCAGCCAAGTTGAATGTTTTGCCTCTCTTGCATGAGATGAGGCAATGTATGATGACGAATGATGATAAAATATTATGTCTTGTTTGTACACTTTTAATTTTTATCCATGATATTTTATACCGTGCATTTTTTTTTCTAATGAGCGTCAGGCTCTTCATATGTATTTATGATATCAATATGGTAAGTGTGTGTTTTATTTAGGCTAGTGAGTTATAGGCTTTAAACATATAAACATATATAACACTTGTGTATGTTTGTATTTTTGTCTGTAAATGATGTAAGGGTATAATGGTGCTCCTTTAAACAGCTGTGTGTGAATAAATGAGATATTGTTTTGTACTTAGAAGTAGCATTGCTGTATAACCATTGTACTAGTAACAGCTCATGAAATCTGTTTAGATAGACTAGTCATCATAATTTTACAATAGCAGCTGCAATTTAACATCTCCATAGTGAATACCTTAGAGCCACTGTATTTTCCTTTTTTTTATTGTAGCACCATAAGTATAGAAAAAGTTTGACATCACAGAAAAAAGATACGTGATGAGATTCTCTCTGGGATTATTTTCTTGGTGATTCCTCTCATTTTTTATTTATCTAGTCTATATTCCTAAGTATCTACAAAACACAGGGATCACACACGAGGTTTCTTTAAGGCATGATTTTTTTCCTCTTTTTTTTCATTGATAAGAAATTTCTACGACTGTGTCCCATGTGATGCTCATGATGTGTAACTTGAAGATATTACTTAAAAATTGAAAGTAGGTGTTTTGTTTTAGCCTTCGTAATAAGCCATTGCAGATATATAGATTGATAATTCATTTATTTGGCACCAAGTTTCTATTGCTGATGTAGATGCATATATCTATAATTTGCATTACAAGTACACTATCATTAATCTAATTGGTGAACTGTGAGCCTCACATGGGAAATACGTAACAGTTTTTATGATGATTCTATTTATAAAACTTCAGATATTTGGCATTTGATTAAACTTTTGTCTCAGCTTTGTCAATCTCATCACAAGACTAAAGAAGTACATTATTCTCAAGAAAAAAAAAATTACAGTCATCCAATAGTCCCTATCCTTTACTATGAGGCATATTCCTACACTGATGTTTATGCATTGATATATTTTCATTTTCATTTTTGTTTTTGAGAGCTTTAGATCCAGTTGTTTGCTTGATTTGCTTGTGATAGATTTGTCACTAGTTTTTTAAGCAACTGTTGTTTAAGTATTTTGGAAATGTATCTCAAATAGTTTTCATGAATTTCCCCTGTCTATAAGTATTACATTCTCATATGTGAATTTAACTCATGTTTTACCAGTCTCTGAATATATGTATATTACAACGATCATAAAAGATTGTCCATTTGCCCAAGAGCAATAAAAATGCCTAAACCTCATGAGGGAATATGCGAGCAGCCTGTTTAGTGCCCCATGACATAGCGCACTCACCTAGTCCTTTCTCGTTTGCTTGCTCCTGCCTGTGTGTGCTTGTGTGTCCTTGGCCACACCTGTACCGTGCTCCCCTCTGGTGTCGGCACCCGGATCCTCTGTCTCGTTGCTGCTGACCTCTCAAGCTGTGCCAGGTCAGTACAGGTCACGGTCATGTCACCTGGTAGAAAAAAGTGTTCAGCACACAAGAAGTATGTACATATGCAATAAGAACAGATACTGTTATGTTAGGGTTATGCTCACAAGCAAGTTTGATTCACACATGCCTTTTGTGTGTGTGCTATGTATGTATGTCTGCAGATCTGTGTAAGTCAGCACTTTATCTTGAAATTAGGAAATTATTTCATTTTAGGGTTTCACTGTATGTGAAGGGATTTATTATTATTATTATGATTTTTTTCTTTGTTTTATTGATTTATGATTCATATAATGTTCAGGATAAGATGACGAAAGTTTATATTTCGTGTTAGGGAATATTTTCATTTATTTATATGTAATATATATATCATCACTGATGAAGATAGCTGAATTCATCTACCACAGTTTTCTGATTCAGATAGACTTTTTGTGTAATTTTCATTATAAGGAAAAAGTAGAATATTTATGCTGTTTGATTGATATACAAGTATTCTCTGAATGTGCCTCCTGTTTGCTAGCAAAATAGTGTGCTTTAGAACTAATATAATAGAAGATACTATTGCTCTAATATTTAGGCTTATTAGATTATTGTAAATGAAATATCATTTGCAGAAGCATTTTTATTATGCAGTTTATGCATATACTATTTATGCAGTGTGTCTATATAAGCATATGCATATGTGTCTGCATATACATATATAAGATATACAAGAAAAATATATGTAAATAAGCTTAATACGCTAGATATCCTACAGATGGAATTGATAAGATAAATCAATGCCTTCTTACTTTGTAGTCTTATAGTCATAGCAGCAGATTTATTATGATGGAAACCACATAAAAAGCTACATGTAGCTTAATTGCTTCCTTAGTGTCTGTCTGTGTCTGGGTAGTCTTTTGCTCCTGTCCTTTGTCATCACTTTGCCACATACATGAATACATTCAACATCTTCATTTTCCACTCCAGCCTTGATTATGAATTTCCTAAGGATCTCATATGATATGAAATGTTTTTTCTTTTTTTTCTATATGTCATTTGAAGGAGAACAAATGTGTCACAAGACCAATATGATTTTTTAATGGTATGCAGTTTCAAAGGGGCACAATTGACGTTGTGTAGTTCATAATACTTGCAAATGAGGAGGTAAATAAAAAATGGCTAAATCAAATGATTGAAGTATACAAAAGGAGTAAATTATTATTTAAGCCAGTATTTTTCTGTTTATAAGATATTTGTGTTACTATGTTTACAGACAGGAAAACAGTAATGTTTATTGAAAATGAAATGAAACACTGATAATAATAAAGGATCACTAAAACTGTGAACTTTCAAGTCAGATCAGGGTCATCCGAGAGTGAAACCAAAATGGATATTTCTTTTGATTTTTAGTTTATTGAAATGTAAAGGTATTAGTTAAGCCATATTATAGCTGGTTGTGATTCTTTTTTGTCTTGTTATAATTAGGATACAATAAAGCTGAAAATGGAAAGGAAAGTCTGCAGGATACATATGTACTGTAATTTTACTTGGGTTCCGTACCTTTCTTAATAGTATTTAGATTTAGGTTCTATATTTTCATACTTCCTTTCAGTTAGAAAAGAAAAACCTAAATGAATAGATTAATTGAATGAGGCAAAATCATAATACAGGTTTTTATTCATGATTTAGAATAATAAAAACAGATGAATTATTACAAATTAATTTCTAGTAGTTCCATGGATTACTGATGTATGGTTGCGAGAATAGGATTATCCTTGTTATATACAAACTGATGGAATGGTTGATGTTATTTCATTTTAATAAACTGTCTGTTTAGATATGATATAAGGGATTTTTTGGTGCATAAAACAAAGACTATCTGGAAATGTCAGTGCATGTTCATTCAATTGCTCATTAAGAAATAATGGGAATAATTTAAAAATTGATGATGAAATACAATAGAATATGTGTGCATTACTCCCTCTTTCGTCTTTCTTAAACCTTTCATAATCACAGTTCTTCGGAAGGCTCCAGTCAACCCAAAGATGGCCATGAAGCCACTTTACTGGACGAGAATTCAGCTGAAGACGCCCAAACCCCCCAAACCAGAACCAGAAGAAGAGGATGAGGTCGACAGCAAAAATGAAACCAAAGAAGAGAAAGGAGAAGAGGAAGAGAAGAAGGAGGAGGAGAAGGAGGAGGAGGAGGGTAAGGCTAAGGAAGAAGGAGAGAAGGAAGAAGGAGAAGTCAAGGAGGAAGAAGAAACCAAGGAGAAGAGTGATAAAAAGGAAGGAAGTTTGAAGAGAGCGAAAAAGTAAGCTGTAATTGTGGTTTATTTCATTGTTGCTTCAAGTTTCCTTGTTTTATTTTTATTTTTTTTGTTGCATTCTTAGATATTTAATTGAGTTTACTAATTTATCTTATACAGGGTGTCCTCATTAATTGCCATTGATACAGGCCATAAAACTGTGATACGTAAAATGGAAATGATTATTTAATATCCCATTAGTACATTATTATAAGGTTAAAGTGGGACCTACTGCATGGTTGGCAAGAGAGATGTATCCTATTAGCCTACATGCATTTGCCAAAACTGCATAAAACATTGGAATCTGCAATACTATTTCAGACCCATAAAGTGAAACAAAAGTGATGGGTGGGAATCATAAATTTCACATACTACATGACAATTTATATGAATGATAAGTTGAAAGCTGTTTTTCTCTTCATACTTTCCTTGATGTGCAATATTATGCAGTAGGAGACCAAAGGCAAGACTTTTCACAAATCTTTGACAATAAAAGAATGAAATGGCAATTAAAGAAGTGATGTACTACAAAGGCCCTCTGTACATATTCAGTCTTTTAATTATCCTATTTTTTCTACTTTTTATTATCCTTGTTTTTTCTCCTTTTTATTCTCCTCGTTTTTTCTCCTTTTTATTGTTACCTAACTGCTTCAGTAATGTCCTCTTTTCTTTCTTTCTGTGTTTCTTGCCTAATTGGTTCACTTTTTTAGGAGAAATGTTTGGAAGTTGGTAATCTCTTGGTTAAACTTGGCATTGAATAAGAATTTGCTTGTTGTTTTCTCTCTGATTACCCACACTAACTATGTATGTTGCTCTTAAAAAGAAAAAAGAAAGAAAAAAAAAAAAAAAACATTGTAAGAACCCATAATTCATAGTATATCAGTAATTGCTAAATATTAAAGAATGTTTGAAAGATCTACAAACACCTGATCACCACAGGAGAAAAGCTGACATTCCACTTTGGGATGAAATTGAGGAAGAGGAGTTTGACGAGCTGGAGTTCGTTGACCTTTTTGCTCGACAGGTCACACAGCCTAAGAAGAAGGAGAAGAAGGAGGCCAAGCCTGCTAAAGCTAAGGTAAGGCAGAGCATTGCAGGTTTTTGCAAGGGGAATTTATCAGTAGTGTATCAGGGTAAGAGGAAGGGAGGGAGGGAAGGAAAGTGAGAAGGAGGGTGGACAGAAAGATGGACGCAAGGAGAGAGGGAGGAAAACGCAGGAGGGAGAAAAGGAGCCAAGGAATGAATTGAGGAAAGAAGAAGAAAAGAAAGTGTGAACACCAACATGTCTTTTGATGCTTTTATTGAGTTTGAGATGTTCAGTTTACAAACTATGAATAGTATTGTGTGAAATGATCATTTGAATTATTAATAGCAATACAGATAATAAATTGGTAGAATACTTTAGAAAGTATTTTCAGTAAAAGTATACTCCTCTTGAGGGGTAACATAAAGAATACATGAATTAGTTTTGTTTGCAAATTTTCTTATCTGAAGAGGGGTCTAGCTTAACTCAAAATGGTATTAGATTTAGACTAGATTGTATTACATTTCATGGTTGCAAGATTGAGCTTGTCAGATCAATCTTGGTGTTGAAGATGCATAGAGTGCAAGTTGGTATATTAACTTCTTGCACCTAGATGTCAGTCTGTAGTTGATGGCGATGTTTTTGGCTAGAGCCTCAGTACTACACTTCAGTACTACACTAAACAGTTTGTGGAAAATTCATGTCATGGGCCTCCTTATGCAGAAATATATAGCCTTCCAATTTTATCTGAAAACTTTTATCATACTTATGTAAGTAAAGCCATGAAGAATGGGGATGGATAGGAGATAAAGACGAGAAACGCTGATCTAGCATTACTTGACCTCCCAAATGGTAGCTTGAACATAGCAAACCTGTAAATTGGCCATCTTAGTAGTTTAGAGAACCTGGGTACATTTAATTAGTAAGTTGAAATTTTCATTCATGTGAAAATAGCCTGCAGTTCAGATCTTAGAAAGCAGAAGAGAAGATGTATAATGATATTTAATGATCAATTTTTCCACAAGGTAAACAAAGTCCTGGACAGCAAACGTTCACAGAATGTGGGAATCTTCATTACAAGTCAACACCTAGATATCGCAGATGTGGAGAATGGTGAGTAGAGACTTGGATGAGCAAGTGTGAACATAGGAGCAAAGTGGGAGGGCTGGAGTGTACATGCAAGACCATGTTTATCATAACATTTGTGTGTATTTGCCTTTGTCCATCCATATAGTGTGTGTGTTTTTGTTTGTTTGTTTGTGTTTTCATAAGTGCATGTATGTTTGTGTATTTTTTTTTTTTTTTTTTTTTTTACCCATTTGTATGTGTGTAAAGGATTCAGGCCAAACAAATTGTAAATTAAACAAAGAGAAGAGCAGGAAAACACAAATATGCTCTGAAGCAGCAATATAGCAAAAAGGTCTTTGTCATACTCTTGCTCTTCAGGTCATTCTTTTAATTGTAGTGTACGTATGTGCTTATGTATTGAATGTGTGGGTGCTATATTTTTATGTATCTTTTGGATAAATGAAAGACCATTAATATCTTGCTATTTTTGCAGCTGTTTACAACTTTGACACTTCCGTCCTAGACCTTGAAGTTCTTCAGCAAATATATGAAGTTGTGAGTAGCACTGTTATCATATTTCAGACACCTCCGTTTTCATTATCAATTTTCTTGACTTTATTTTAGCAGATTAACGCTTTTTCATTTTGTTTCTTATAGGCAGCCTTAGTATTAACACAAGTATTACCAGAATTGAAAGACAAACAAAACAAAGACAAACCTTGGTACTTCAGATCTGTAGGTTATGTGTTGGATTAAATCTTAACATTAATTCGATTTAAATATATCATCAAGTAAAGATGAATTTAATATTTTATTCAATAGATGAAAAGCTAGAATAGATCAAAATCAGCGGAGAGTTAAACTGAATTAAACTTGAAATTAAACGTCAAATCATTCCTTTTTTTCAGAGAGGAAGTGAAGGAGAGATCAACATGATTAAAGCGGCCAATGAAGCCATGCCGGACATCCCCCTCGATAAGCCTGAACAGTAAGTCTCTGTTTTGACAGTCATGTTAAGGCTACCATTTATAGGGTCCTGATGGAGGTTATAGTCAAGAGCAGTTGAAAAGAAAATATGAACTACTTTTGAATAAGTATGCATGTGGAGAATTACATATGGTAATAGTGTGTCCTAATTTATGTGTAAACATATATGCACATTTGGACATACATATGCATATGCATGTACATATATACATATGTGTACGTGTATATATGCTTTTTTATGAATATTCAAGTACAGATGAAACAACTTTCTTTAAGGGGGAGGGGAAACAAAAGCAAATTCCAGAAATCCCTTTTGAGAGTTTCTTAGACTATTATTAATGTTAATGCTATATATTGTTTTCTTATTTGTATAATACATTATGTAGATTGACTTTTTTAGTACATGAGAGACATATATAAAAGACAACTTTAAAATCATGTTTTATGATCTGGTGATGTTCTACATTATTTTGTTAGAAATGGAAGGTTATCAGAGCAGGATTGTTTTAGAGTATTGAAATATCATTAACTTGTCTTATCTTGTTTAATTTTTCATTCTAACCTATAACTTTTTCATCACAGGAATAATTTCCTTTTACAGTTAAGAAACAATGTCTTCATATTTCAGGTTCCTCCTCGACCTGTCAAAAATAAATGAATTTGCTGAGCGAACAGCATGTTTCACCTTCCAAGCAACTTTTAATGAAGAGCTGGGTGTCATACATGGAAGAATACACATGTTGCAGTCTACTATAGATGTATGTAAAATAAGTTGAAATTTGCCACACACTCATTGTCATATCAAATCTCAATAATTATTCAAATGTCAATAATATCATTCATTTTAGTAATTGTACCAAGGAGGAATTTGTTTAAGTGCACCTTTTTGTGTGCAAGTGCAGTGATATAAAATTGTACTTCATAATATAATGAGGTACAGATATTCACACCACTAATAGTAACACTAGTAAGTTCTTCATTGAAATCACACTCATAATTCATGTCTTACTGAAATGCTCTGAGTCCTATTGTAGCAAAGCCCCGTTTCTCCTCTGAACAGGTACTCATGACAAGCGAGAGCATCAAGAGAATATTTGGGATGATCCTAGCCCTTGGCAATTATATGAATGGCGGCAATAGGACTAGGGGCCAGGCAGACGGATTTGGTCTTGAGATCCTTCCAAAGATCAAGGATGTTAAGAGCAAAGACTCGGGCTTCACACTCTTGCACTTTGTTGTCACGAAGTATATTGAGGTATGGGAGGGTTATTCTTTTTTTTTCCCCCTTTTTTAATTTTTTTTTTTTTTTTTAAATTGTATATTATATAGTTTCTTCTAGATATTGAGAAGATAGGAGTAGAGTTCCCTGTTTTATGAAATATTTATCTTTGACCATATCACTATGTTATTTATTGTATTATCAATATTTTTTATTTCTTAGGAGAAATCGATAAATAATTGCTTATGCATAACTAGATAATTATTAGAGTGAAATTTCATTTTAAGGGAAAATAGGTTATACTTTAAAAGTGTCCCTACAATCTTGATTAAGCGATATTTTGTGCATAACCACAATTTTTTTTTACTTTATTATGATTTTTTTCCTTTCTGAAAGAAATCTTGATGATGTTGCTATGTTGCATTTTATCATATTTCTTTATTCATTACATATAAAAGACTTTATGATTATCCTAAAACACAGATGATGACATATTACTATTACATTCTCTTCCAAATCAGTAATACCATACCTTCTTACACACACTTCCAAACATTATGTTAGCGAGTCCATTGGTTTTAATTCCAGAAATATGAAGGGGAGGATGCAGGTACTGACAAAGTCCAGCTGCCAATCCCAGACCCTTATGTTGTGGAGCGTGTGTCCAACCTCAAATTCGAAGACTTGGAATCAGACTTGAAAGATATTGAAAAAAATCTGAAAGGTAATAACCCAAGTTATTTTCTAATCAGAGCATCTGTAATACTATCAAATCACACAATTCTTTCTGCTATCAATTTGCAATGTAAGTTGTTGACTTATTGTATGTCGATGTATATTGATAGGTTATTATCTGCCACTGATGGCTGATGATTCGTATACTAATAATGATAACTGTATTAACTTCATGAAGATAATCTAGTATCATCCCCATTGCAGTGTGCGAAAATCGAGCAGAGAAGGTGATTGCAAAGTCAGACGAGGAACATTTGCAACCTTTTAAGGACAGGATGACAGAGTTCTTTGTGAAAGGTATTGCTTGTGGTGCTTGTAAAGGAGATCGAGGGAGTATTGGCATTGTAGTTTTTTATTTGTATATGGTATTTATACGGTATACCTATACTTTATTCTTGTAAAACGTATATTAGTATTTCAGGGGCATTTTGTTTTTTTGTTCTTAGTTATTTTAACCATGTTTTGTTTTTAGAGCATTGTCATATTAGGGAATATATTATTTAAGATATTTTCATTGCTGTTTAGTGTATGCAGTGTATACTTTCATTATCATTGGTACCTTAAAAGAAAAAAAAAAATCATCTCTTATCTATTCAGATTATATTTTATTAGAACTGTATTCTATTTCCTTAATTTTATTATATATAGACCACATTACTGTGTACTAATGCATAGTTTTATCATATTTTGTAGTTCAGCCTATAATTCTATGGTTAATAAGTTATTTAAATGGCTTATAATTATTGTCTTGTCTCCAGTTCTTTTTTGTCTTGATTTCAGCTAAGAGTGAAGTGGAATCAGAGAGTGAAAGTTTAAAGGACTGTAAAAGTCAGTAAGTATAGTGGCTGAAATTTTTTATTGTTCTCACTAAAAACATTTTGGGTTGGACTGATGAATGTATATAAATATATTACAATTAAACATGCAGTGAGTATGTTTCTGTTTTTTCATTGAACATATAAGGTAAATATACTCTATGATTTTTATATATGTATTTCTTTTTTAGAGCTTTTGTAATATTTGTTCTTATGTTGCATAAAGTCATGTAGTTGTTCACCCTGTGATTGAATATTTAAAAGTTTTATTTCTTTTTTTTTAGATTTGATATGGTCATGAAGTATTTCCAGTTCAGTGGAAAAGGGCCTGAAGTCACACCCTATGATTTCTTCAGTGTTTGGTCTCCCTTCTGCAATGACTTCATGAACATTTGGCAGAAAGAACAGCAGAAGATTGTCAAACAAAGGTAATTTTCACTGAACGGTTTCACTTGATGTATTTTCATTTTACAGTGCTAGGGCTGTAAAGTTCTGAATCTCACAACAAAATTTTATTCCAGATTCATTTAACTGCACAGCAAAGTTTGCAAATAATGAGGGCTACCAGACAACAGATCTCATTTTTCATTGATAATCTTTAAAGTTATATAGACATCTAACCACACAGCCTTTATAAAACCAGCACTGAAACCATTAACGCCACAAAGTAATTTTTCAAAAAGTAACAGAATACTAAAATGCAGTTTTTGGCTGTGTTTACAGAATGAAGGCTGCAGAAGAGAAGGTGAAGAAAATGACTGAGGAGAAGAAAGATGTTGCCAAGAAAACCAAAGAGGTCGGAGGGTTGAAGAGCAAACTCAAGGACAAGTTGAAGACTTAGCAATAATTTTTTTCTTTTTAAGATTTATACTTCTCTCTCTTGGTATCTGCCTCTCTCTCTTTCTTTTTAGATACAAGTCACCCTTTATTTTATATGTATATTTTTGAAGCTTGCCAAGATGAGGAAATGGAAGGAAGGGGAGGAGGAGGAGGAGGAGGAGAAGCAAAGTTGTCAAATGAACTCTCTGCCTTCAGGAGTCGAGTGTTCACCAGCACAAGGCTCTGAGTGTCTCCCAGACTTCCTTGGTCACAAAGCTGTGATTAGAATAGATGTTGTGATAATTACTATACTTTTATGAATTGTACTTGATGGAGACATGGAAGGTTGCGATAAATGCCAAGGTTTTTATAGAAGCTGTGTATGTGACCTTTCAGTTTATTTTCTTTCCTTATATTGTTTTAATTGCATGCTTTAATGCTTTTTTGTACACCATATTTTATGATAATATCTTCTGTGAATCTTTGGAAATTATGAAATGATTTTTTGTATATGATTGAGATGTGATATATGAAAATATGTAAAATTAAGGATTTGTTGGAGCATTGAAGTAAATTGCATGATTTCGCCTATGGTATATGACTTGACATTGAACCGTTGAATGTGATTTGTAAATAGGAAGTTTAATGAGGTTGTTTCAAGTCGTCAAGAAATTATATTGCAGGTGAAAATCCTTATATATTCTCTTTTGATTTATGTATACTTTCATTACTTTTTCCAAGTAAATGCCTCTCTTTCATAGACTGCAACAAACACAACCTTGGCTTTGCACAAGTGTATTGCAGCATTATGCAGAGTCATGCCAGTGGTCTTTCTAAAGAATGTATAAAAGGGGGACGTATTTAGCTCAGCTAGCAGGTTCACACATCATTAAGCTTGATCATTCCTCTCGAGGGTCACAAACAATGCCATATATATGTATAAATATATACTACATACCATTTTTTTTTTCTCATTAGTATTCATTTTCTGACCTTAGGTGCCATTTGGGAGGATGTAAGGTTTTCCTTGGGAGCTTCATCATGTTGCAAAGGTCACATGTATGGAAAGAAAATTTCAAGAAGGAAGAATTATTGGAATCACTTTTTTCAGTTTCTGAAATTTATGGGAAACTTTTTAAAAAGGTTTCATTGTTTGTTATATTAGCTCAGTGTTTGTTTTCCTGCATTTTGGCCAAAATTATTCATTGATTTTAGTTACTACTATGTTAAAAAGGAAAAACATTTTTAAAGTCATCCTTCAAGAAATAGCAATCACTCACAAAAGCATGCAAGCATAATACCCCCACTTATGATATTGTATCATGTACAGCACAAACAATGGTAGTTTTGTGTGTGTGGAAATAGATCTTCAGGGGAACACTAAAAGTGAGGACAAAAACTTCAGACAATAACAACAAACTTGCTTGCAGCAAAGTGTATATAACCACCTTCCTAGATACTGCCGTTAATAAATGAATAATTTTAAGCCAATGCTAAGTGTGTATGCTCATCTCATTGTCCATATTCAACATATCCAGCTAGGGAATTTTTGGCCTTACAAAAAATGTACCTGTATCCCCAGCATAAGTTGCATAATTTTTTTTTTTGGATCAGCACCTCACACATACACACAAGTGCTCACACACATGCGCACACACACACACAAAACACAATCTCATATAGCCACTCAGGTGTACCAGATCTCATTCTCTTGTGTGTTAGTCATGGTGCTTCCAAAGACATTTTTCGCATGGTGTCTGGTAGGCAAGTGGCCAGATCTGCTTTATATAGTGTCTTTTTAAAAATGATTGTTAATAAAAAAATATATAAATAATTTGAACTCTCTCATTTCCATTCCCTGCTCTCAGAGGTCTTACTTAGTATTGGAAGTTCTAATTAAAAGAAAAAAAAAAATTCAGCCGTAAAACCTAGCTTTCAGAGTACAGTGCATGTAAAACCACTTCAGATATGACAAAAAATTTAATTTGTGCATTGTTTTTTCTTGCCATTTTATTTTCAAGCAATCTGATTATTAACAAAAATTCATCTAAATTACAAAAAAAGATTATTCTATATCATTTGGTAAGAATTTCCTGTGTCCATCCTATAAATAATTCAATGGCACTTTCAGAATGTTTTATGAAAGGACAGTACTGACAGAGGATCATACCATTTTTACTGATATACCTATGGATGAAAACCTTTAGTAGTGGACAGTAAGTAAAGTATGCAGTGTGATTAATACACTATACAGGGACAAGAAGATATTAAATTAGTCTCCTTCCTCGAAAAAGAATAAGAGATTTCCAGACAAGAAGGTAAAATAACTGGGCAACAACACAGTGATAGGTAGGTAACAGGCAAAATTTACTCATGCACATCTATATAATTTTTTTTATCTGACTCCTTATAATGCTTAAGGAATGTAAGTATGATGCAAAATCCCCTAGGGCAAAAATACTGCAGCGGAAATTAGACAAATATCTGATGACAAAATGGGCACTTTAAGAAACTAATGGAAGGAATTCTGCACCAGCAGTTATAAGGAATTATAATTCTGAAAATAAAACTCACTGAAAACAATGGGAACATAAGGCAAAATGTGTACCATTCACGGTAAAAGAAACCACCAGTGTTCTCTGAATATGAATAGATGAGCAATTCATAAAATATATACTTATCTAACCTTGGGAAATCCTAAATTTTTTGCTCGATGATAACGCACACGGGCATACACAGACCGCCATCATAACCACGGTACTTGCATAGACCTTGATCACAACCGTCACCAATTTTCTGATCTACTCAAGTTTCACAGCCATACCGGGCACATGGCTTAGCCTTGTGACCAATTCCTTTGTTCTCTTTTGTCAGTTTGTCAGCAGGTTTAATTCCATAATTGTTGATGCAGTGTGAGAACCAGTATAACATGGCGCGACTGCCTTGACCAAGATTCAACTGTGCCATGGGAAATTTAGTAGGTATTCAGTATAAAGGGAGTAGCCAGTGTCTGCCTACCGTAGATTGGCCTTCTGTAAGCATTAGCCAGCCTCGTGGGACCCCAGGGAAGATGAATCTCAACAGTAAGAGATTCAAAACCAATTCCATAGCTTGGGAGTTAGCGACCCTTTTAGGCTAGGTGGGGATCGTCGCCTTGATCAGGGTGTTTAGGCTTCTGGTTCCGGATACATCAAGGAGTATTATTCTAAAAATCAGACCTGTTGAGGCCGTAAATTCATGTGGATATAAGCGTTCTTAGAAAAAAAGGAAGTCGTTGTTGTTATATTGTAGTTTGCTGAGACTGGGTGTCACTGCCCTACTCGGAGGGATATCAGTGGTGTCTCCCTGTGATGGCGATACTTAACTTGCAACTACTCCAGGGTGAAAATCTCACTGCCTGCGTGGATGACTGATTCTTTGCCGATTGGTCTATCACTTAATCTAACTAAAGGAAGATATCCTTGGTCTGATATCATGGAAGATATCCTTGGCCTGGGTCCCTGTATTTATTCTTGTTTTGTCTTTCGCCCTCTTCGGCTGAGCTTGTAAGACTAGGAGACCTTACCATGAGTTGGAGTAAAGGCTCAGCAATTGGAAGCTACTACTGTGTTGTCTGCTGCCATCGACTCCCGCGGGTGAGGAAGGGACTGGTCTCACAGTCCACTAATCTCTACAGACATAAGTAGTAGGACGCCTTTATATTTATAGAGTCCGTAAAAAAAAAAAAAAAAAAAAAAAAAAAAAAACAGGACTTTACGAGGAGTTCTAATTCCCACATGTTCTGACCACACAGAAATAAGTGTCCTGGGGAGGGGCGCGCGGAAAAGTCTAGTCGCCCTTTCGCTTGAGAACCACTTCCGTACGGGACAGACAGGGCGCCACACGTAGGTCTACAATCAAGCAGGAAGCTCCAGTGAGTCGAAGACGTGACGTGATCACATCTATGGCATGTAGTTAAAAAATAAAATCGCCTTGAACTGCCTTTCCCCGAGGAGTCCTGAGAGAGACTCGGGGTGGATTCTTGCTTCGGGAGAATAATCATATCTTGGTCATTTCTAGGTGGACTGAGCATCTCCGGATGGTAAGCACTATCAACACCCTTAAGTTTCCACCGCATGAAATAGTTTGTCCGTCCGTCTGTTTGTTTATCAGTCTCGCTCTATCTATTTATTCATCTATCTATCTGTTTGTCTGTCTGTATGTCTATCAGTCTGTCTATCTACCTACCTATCTACCCATCTATCTCTATTTTGTATTTATCTATCTCTCTATCTGTCTGTATGCCTATGTGTCTGCCTGCCTACCTACCTATCTCTTTGCCTATCCATCTATTTGACCATATGTCTGTCTGCCTATCTATCTATTTACCTCTCCGTCTATCTATCAGCCTCTCTATCCATCTATATCTATCTCTATCTGTTTGTTGTGCGAATGTGTATCTATCAATCCATCTGTCTGTCTATTCATCCATCTATCTGTCCATCCATTCATCCATATATCTATCCATCTATCCAAGGTACCTATAACCAGGTGGCTCCACTTCCACATACCCAAGTGAACCCTAAAATAGAATTGACCTTTTCCTAAGCGTACTCTAACAGTTGCTAATGGCAAGGAACTCTTATCATAAATAAAAGAGAGTGATTTTGGTTTTACTTCTTGCAAAAATGACAACATCGAGTAAATCATGTAAATAATTGCGTATCTAGCTATATCTGGTATCTCACAACGCACTCTCATTGGTCAATTCGAGAGGTATTTCATCTTCGAAAATCCCGTAAAACCCTACCTGGAAATTCGAAAAAAATCCGGGCATCCTTAAGAAACTCTTAGGAAATCTCCAGGAAATCTCAAGAATCCGGAAATCTCGCAAATGTTCCATTCGCAGAAATCTTTTACAAAATATTACAAATCGTCTTTAAAAAAAAATCGGTAAAAAGTGTCATAAACTTCGACAAACACTGATCAGTTGAGAGGCAGTGTGCAGTGTTGAGGCCGTTGCGTAGGAGCTATTCATTAGTTGCCGTGGTGTTCGAGTGGTAAACAAAGCCACAGAAAAAGGTGTCCTGATCGAGGAGATGGACGACGGTGAAAGTCGAGGCTGTCACCCTTAAGAAAATTATTCAGAAACTGTGTACTATGGCCGTTCGTCAAGATATACCAAGCATACTTATATATCATCAGACACAAAATTAAACGCAGAAAATCATAGAAATATACTGAAATGATTTAATCATAGCACATATAATTTATGGAAGATTTTAGACCAAATCGACCACCCTTGCGAAAAAGTCTGTGTGCCCCATCGAACAAACTTTAGGTCCTGAAATACAAAACTGTGTCACGAATTTATCAGAAATCGTTGGCATGGTTTCGTAGTTATATGCTTTGTGACTCTGTGTGCCAAGTTTTAAGCGATTCGATTAGCCTGTTGGGTACACAGATTTTAGTACCTACCAGTACTACGGAATCCTTTTTTTTTTGGGGGGGGAAGGGTTTTATCAAAATGAAGCAAAAATGGCGGAGAGACGATTGCGCACGAATCAGTCAATAAGGTTTAAACGCGGTCTTGGTGAAACATTATATCGATAAAATAGCAGCAAAGGATGTTATGAATGAAGCTGCAATGCCAAGTGAGTTTCATTTAATCCCCCAAATCTATTCCCGAAGTATATCAGAAACAGGATTACTCCTTTTAAAATGTTCAAATTTCCAAGTAATTGTGGCTATTTTTGGAAGTGAGTTGGTTTCAGCGATAAACAGTCAATCCGTTTTTAACTAAACCGAAAAATCGAGAATTTTTGGTCTGAAGGGTTTCAGAAACGAGCAGATGTATTTTTTGGTAAAGCAGTGCATTTCATGTTGAACTTGTAAGGTAACGACTGATAATACCTTGGGTTTCGAAACATTTACGATGACTTCATGGTTTTTAAACACCATTCTAAGACTTTGAGAATCCATAGGAAATCTGAAGATCCCTGACAAACCTGCCTGGAAATCCGAAAATCCCCGTAAGATTTTCGAAATTCCGGAAATCTCGTACGTCATGGGTCAATTTTTTTTCACCAACAATATGTGCGATATTTTTTGGTAAACGTTATTTCAGTGCATTTTTTTTCTCTTTGAGAATGGTTCAATAATAGCAATGGTAAAAAGATATGGGAAAAAATCCAAGAAAAAATAATATGTATATATTGAATATTTGAAATTAATGCGTGTATGTGTGTGTGTGTGTGTATGTGTATGTGTGTATGTGTGTGTGTGTGTGTGTGTGTGTGTGTGTGTGTGTGTGTGCGTGTGCGTGCGTGCGTGCGTGCGTGCGTGCGTGTGTGTGTGTGTGTGTGTGTGTGTGTGTGCGCGCGCGTGTGTGTATGCGTGTGCGCGCGCGTGTGTGTATGCGTGTGTGTGTGTGTTCGTGCGTTTGGTTGTTTGTTTTTACAGTCTATATTACCTTTGGCAACGCAAGGAAAAGTTTCTATGGAAGAGCTAGAAAAAACCAGCACCCAGGGAAAGTTTTGATCGATATTTAGATTTTTGCAGAAATTCAGTGAAGGTTTTGGAATGCCATGGGCATTTTTCCGGCATTGCATACGCGATGTTTTTGGAAAATCAAGAAGAAGAGGGAGGGAGAGAGAGAGAGAGAGAGAGAGAGAGAGAGAGAGAGAGAGAGAGAGAGAGAGAGAGAGAGAGAGAGAGAGAGAGAGAGAGAGAGAGAGAGAGAGAGAGAGAGGGAGGAGAGAGAGGGAGAGGGAGAGGGAGAGGAGAGAGAGGGAGAGGGGAGAGGGAGAGGGAGAGGGAGAGGAGAGGGGAGAGGGAGAGGGAGAGGGAGAGGGA